AACCAGTCAACAGATTCATGGGGACTCAATGATCCCAAAAGCTGCTGACTCATCAGATTCCAGTGACTCAGCGTTCTCAAATGTTCTGACTCATCCGATTCTAGTGACTCGGCGCTCAAAAATTGCTGACTTATCAGATTCCAGTGACTCAGCGTTCTCAAATGTTCTGACTCATCCGATTCTAGTGACTCGGCGCTCAAAAATTGCTGACTTATCAGATTCCAGTAACTCAAGGCTTCCAAATGTGCTGCCTCATCAGATTCCAGTTACTCAACGCTCCAAAATGTGGTGACTCATCAGATTCCAGTGACTCAACGCTCTAAAATGTGGTGACTCATCAGATTCCAGTGACTCAACGCTCCAAAATGTGGACCCATATGTCAGTGACCCAGTGTACCACTAAATACTGACTAATCGAACTTTAAGTCCACTTCACACACGCAGGTCACATAATGTGTCACATCGTACCTCTACGTTCCAGCTGCCATTCATTTGGATGGAATTGTGTGGTATGGATTTAACGTCCCTTAAAACACAGGAAAGCCATGTAAGCGGTCGTTTCCGATCAACCTATATTATGGTGTTTCCTTGAAAACTGCCCAAAAAGACAAAATTAAGAAAGGTGCATTGTGGTTTTGCGTCACTGTAGACCACACCATGGCCTGACTTGTAACCACAACCGTAAGGCCGTGGGTTCGTATCCCGTCAGGGGCCCAACTTTATGTCCGTAGGAGAGTTTTGTGTTTAGTTAGTTCCTTTCCTCGTATACAGACATAGTGGATTCTGCCGATCGTCAATTTTTGGGTATACACAGTTGTCGGTGTCATCTAATAGGATGTTCTTTTTTATGTTCATGTTTTGGGATTTTTAAAGTTAATTTGTTTGTTTGTTTTTATGGGTTTATTTTTGTTTTGTTTTTTGTTTTCTTTTGCTTCACATGAAACTAACAGCCATCTGTCTTTAATAAAAATGTGATACATTTTAGATTGTAGGAGATGGGGGTAGGCAGGTGTCAGGGATAAAATTGGCGAGAAAAAGGCTGTCAAAGTTGGGTTACTTCCCAAAATTTTGTGGGAACTCTCGTGGCCTTTATAAGGTGTTGGCATCTCATTGAAAGGTCTCGGCTGGTTGGAACCCGGGTAGGGACCTCGAAATAAATTTCTTGTCTAAAATAATTGTCTCCTTTCACCTCCTTTCCTGCTCTCTGGCAATGTTCTGTCGTCTGCCTTTGTCTACTCTTCCTGCCCCCACCCCCTCACCTCCTTTGCCCCCTCCTCTAGGTTCCTGACTTTGTCTGCAGCCTTTCTACTGCTACTCCTTGGCCCCTTCTTACTGCTGTCTTTCAACCACACCCCTGGTCTTCTGGTGGGAAAGAT